AAAATATTTTGGCAATTCAAACATGACTGAATGGCTAACAACAACAACGTATTTAGTTTCAGAGTTTTTGTAGAAACAGCTGTCTTGTTTGTTTATGGATCCAACTATCCACAAATTTATTATGATTTATTGATACTTTGATTTTGTCAGCCAAAAACATCTTCATGAGAAAACATTGTTAGCTCTGGAAGATTCGGAAGTAGGGAAGTACCTAGCCAACTGCCGTCCATTATCGATGGCAGCTGAAAATACATTGGGTCAGCCCTCACCCATAACAGAAGCAGCACCTGTAGCTATATGAAAGGAATTCTCTCAGTGGCTATTGTTTGTCAACCACAGCAGTATTTCCAGCCTTCAAGTATTTGTTTCTGTCAGTAAAATGTAGGGGGGGAGAGCATGTCAGGCCTGACAAGAGCCACTGGACAACTTGACACCATACAACTTGCATAACTCATGCAGGCCCAGCTGCTTGTTACTGCTCAACATCCACTGCCCCATTAAGTGTTGTGTAGTGGTTAGTGTTCCAGACAAGGATTTGGGAGACCCAGGTTTGAATCTGAGTTGGGAAATACCTGGAGATTTTTGGGGTGTTGCCTTCTGACACACTTCCGGTGATGTCAGGGATGTTGCTGTTGTTCAGTCGCACAGTCGAGTCCGACTCTTCGCAACCCCATGGACCAGATCCTGCCAGGCCTTCCTGTCTTCCGCCGTCCTCTGAAGTTAGCTCAATTTCATGTTCGTTGCCAGGGATGTGGCATATGCAAATAAGTTATGCTAATGAGTTATGCTAATGAGCTCCTGCACCTCTTTTTCTGCAAAATGACCCCTGCAGACAAGAGTGGTGAAACTCTCTTCACCCCAGGTGTAATGGTTAAATGCGCAGACTCTAATCTGGGAGAACCAGGTTTGATTCCCCACTCCTCCACATGCAGCTGCTGGATGACCTTGGGCAAGTCGTAGTTCTGTCAGAGCTGTCCTTGAAAGGGCAGTCCTTGAAAGAGCTCTCTCAGCCCCACCCACCTCACAGGATATCTGTTGTGGGAAGGGGAAGGGAAAGGAGTTTGTAAGCCGCTCTGACACTCTGAGGGAAGGACGGGGTATAAATCCAATCTCCTCCTCCTCTTCTTCGTCTGGAGTATAGTACCAGAATTTGCTGCTCCTCAGGGTAACTGTTGGGTTTGCTCTCTGTGGAGGCGCAGAGGTGATACGGTGCTCCTTGCTGTTAGCAGGAGGAAAGCTGAGAAACAAGCTGGTGTGAGACAACTCCCTCAAGATAGGGATGACAGATCCAGGCTGGGAAACTCCTGGAAATTTGGGGATGGGGCCTGGGGAGGACAGGGACCTCTGTGGGGTACCATGCCGTAGAGTCCACCCTCCAAAGCATCCATTTTCTCCAGGGGAATTGATCTCTTTAATAGTCTGGAGATGAGCTGTATTTTAGCCTCTGGCTCATGCATTTTTGTCTTGGCTCAGGAAGGATGGCTCCAGAGCTAACTAATTTACGCTGTTGCCAAATCGCTCGCTCACAACTTTAATGCCAGTGGCTCACAAAGCAGAATTTTTGCTCACAAGACGCCACAGCTTAGAAGGAGCATTGGATGGGATATAAACGTTTGTCACAAATAAAAAGAGATTTTCCCCAAATCGATAAATGCTCTTGCCAGGGGTCCCAGGGTGATATGACAGGCATCATCGTTAGCTAGCTGTAGGGGTGTGTGGCTGCCATTCTTGCTGGGCTCCCTTTACTGGGCAGGCCAGAGGTCCTGAGGCTCCAGATGCTGCCTGGGGGCTGTAATGGTGGTGGCGAGCGGGTCTATTCCATGCTGCCTTTTTGTCTGCATTGTCAGAGAGACAATCCTGCAGCAAGTGAGGAAGAGAGCAATGGGGTATAAAGGAAGATTTAGCCTTGCTTTCTCAGGTGGGGCCTGGAGATCTCCTGGAACGGCAAGTCCTCCGTCCACTGGGGGGATGGGAAAGGCCAGCTATTCCTCTACCTGAGAATGCTCACATGAGACTGGCCGAGAAAGAGTGAGCTGAAAAGAGTCCCTGAGGCAGTGTTCCCTCTAAGCTGAGTTAGAGTGAGCTAGCTCACAATTTTTTAGCTTCCGGCTCACAGATTTTTGTCTCAGCTCAGGAAGGAGGGCTCCAGGGCAAAGTAATTCATGCAGTAGCCAAATTGCTCGCTCACAACTTTATTGCCCGTGGCTCACAAAGTAGAATTTTTGCTCACAAGACTCTGCAGCTTAGAGGGAACAGACCCTGACTCTAACTTCACAAGCTGGAGACGGATCTTAGCAGGGTCTCATGATTGCCACTGAAAATAGCAGCCCTGTTTCTTATTCTTTTCATTTTAGCTTATCCATCTATATACCCTGCCTTCCTCCCCTAATGGGGACCCCAAGAGGCTTTACATCATTCTTTTCTCCTCCATTTTATCCTCATGCATCTGACTCGGAAGATGCACGGAAGAGGACTTGGAAGTTGTGGTGTCCTTTTCTCATAAAGCTATCCCATGAGTCCTTTGGAGCATGCGCCGTACATTGTTTGTATTCAACAGCTAGCCACCAGATGGCGCAGCACTGCCAGGACTCAACAGGGATAGTGGGTTTTTAATCTCATTACATATGCTAACTTATTCAGTCCTCAGCAATGCTCCCTCTAAGCTGTGGAGTCTTGTGAGCAAAAATCCTACTTTGTGAGCTACTGGCATTAAAGTTGTGAGCGAGTGATTTGGCAACAGCGTAAATTAGTTTGCTCTGGAGCCATCCTTCCTGAGCGAAGACAAAAATATGTGAGCTGGAGGCTAAAAAACTGTGAGCTAGCTCACACTAACTCAGCTTAGAGGAAACACTGGTCCTCAGGTATGTATTATCAACAAGAAATCTACAAATCCTCTGTATTTTAACGTATGTTAGTGTATTTCTTTTTCAGAATAGTATATTAGAAGAAGAGAAGAGATTGGATTTATACCCCCTCTTCACTACGCAAAGGTGTCTCAGAGCGGCTTACAAACTCCTTTCCCTTCCCCTCCCCACAACAGACACCCTGTGAGGTAGGTGGGGCTGAGAGAGCTCTTGACAGAAACTGATCTTTTTCAAGAACAGCTCTTATCAGAACTACGGCTTGCCCAAGGTCATCCAGCCAGGTGCAAGTGGAGGAGTGGGGAATCAAACCCGGTTCTCCCAGATTAGAGTCTGCACACTTACCCACTACACTAAACTGGCCCAGTATTAGAATACTGAATGTATGCAAGGGATATTAGGATGTTTGCTGACAAAACAGCATTTTTTGGACTGCAATCCCAGTCTCAGCCTTCACAAACATAGAGAGCTGGGCAATGAATGACCACCAAGAAACAACCTAAGAAAGGGGTATTTCCTGCCCCAACCTAACCACCCCATGGAAAACTTGACCTAGACAGAGGATAAAACTGGATGGATGGGCAGATGGATGGATGATAAGAAGGACCTCCCCTTGGAAATGTACCTGTGGAGGAAAGTCCTTGCAAGCCAACTTTCAGCATTATATTTCTGTAAAGTACTGGGTTAACCGCATGGAGACTCGGACCACGACGTTCAGACACGTTTATTGTACTTCACACAAATTATAATAATAATAGTAATAATAGTAATAATAATAATAGTAATAATAGTAATAATAGTAATAATAATTATTATACTTTATTGTCATTGTACATAGTACAACGAAATTAAAGATGCAATCATTTCGGTGATCTACAACCATACTCATATACACTCACACAACCATCCCACTCCCTTAAGGTTCACATTGCAACTTAAACCACCAATGTCACCCAAATACACACACACAAAAAAAAGGGCCCTGCAAGGCCAACTATATACACGCCACCCATGGTCCCATTGGAGGGTTTGAATTTCCCACCAAAGGTTCTATTGGTGGACTCAAGGTGGACTAGGATCCTAGGTCCCCTTTATGTTAGGGGACTAAGCTCCTTGCTCAGACTGAGGACCACTGGTGGCGATCCACGTACATAACAACTTCCAAGCAGTGATCCTCATCCATATCAAAGAAAAGACCTCATCTAAAGATAGGAGCAAAGAGGATAATGCATTACACTGTTATCAGCTGCTTTGTTGTTCCTGTCCTAAAAGATGACTAAAACAGACACCACCTTTCACAGACCTACAGTGTACCTTTCAGCCAATCATGGCAATCAAATGCAACATGGGCAGGCACTGATACACACCTGCTTATAAGAAAGGGACTGCAGGATTTGTGCAGAAGTTTCAGCCGTTCCCTTTGGCTTGCGTGAAAACTGAGGTGCTTCCTTCCCTTATTAAACTTTTCTGTCCCTTCCTCCAGGCAGGCAAACCAATGCGGCCTTGCTATCCAACTGATTAAGTGTGTGAACAACATTTATTTCTGTTATAACAGGGCAAGTGGGTGTAGGGCCAGCTCCAGGCTTTGAGGAGCCCTGGGCAGAGAATTCCCAGGAACCCCTCCCTTCTTCTACCTCCCATCCCCTACCCACGCCCCTTTCCCTTCCCCCCACCCATGTGCCTACCACACCCACCTGTGCATCTTTCCCCGGCCCGCTTGTGATCTCTCCCACTGTTCATGCTCACCACTGCCGGCAGCCCTTTCCTCAGTGGCACCGGGCAGTGAGTGTAGCTGAGAGCATGTTGGAGCGCTAGCAAGTAGGGGGGGACGGACGCCACAGCAGTGGGAATGCTGATGCAGGTCCTGACTTGGGGCAGCTTCTGCTCATCTTTGGTCTTCTGTGCAGTCCCACATTGGCCAGCTGTTCAGAGGATTTTCCCAACTTTTTCTAGCCATTAGGAAAGTAGAGCCCCTCCCCTTGGGAACACGCTGTCTGATTGGCGGGCCGCTGGTTGGGCGCCGGCAGAGAGTGGAGTTGCAGGAAGGGGAACGCCCCCCTCGCTTGCTTGGGAAAGCGCGAAAAAACCGAAACTAACTCTGCTCGTCTCTCTTCCCCCCAGCCCTTCCTCGAGGCAGCCATGGCGGCGGTGGGTCCCGTGCAGGAGCTCTGCGAGGAGGCCACCTGCTCCAACTGCCGCGCCTATTTCAAGGCCCCGGTGAGCATCGCCGAGTGCGGCCACAACTTCTGCCGGGCCTGCCTGACCCGCAGCTGGGGGGAGTCGGGGGCCTCGCCCGAGCCTGCCTGCCCCCAGTGCAGAGGAAGGACGCAGGAGGGGAGCCTCCGCCCCAACCTGCAGCTGGCCAGCATCGTGGAAATCGCCAAGAAACTCACTCTGCAGGAGGGGAATGAGGCCGGTGCGAATGGGCAGCTCTGCCCGAAGCACCAGGAGCTCCTGAAGTCTTCCCGCAAGGACGACGAAGCCCCCCTCTGCATGATGTGTGGCATAGCCGGGGAGCACAAAGAGGTGAGTCCTCTGGAGGAGGCTGCCCGAGAAAACAGGGCAAGTAAGAAATCTTGGGATCTGGATGCGGAATGGCTGAAGATTCTTCTTGGCTTCTCTATCCTAGACTCAGCCCAGTGAAAACGATCTAGTGATGGGTATTATTAAATCAGTGAAATGTAGGCACCTGAGGGCGAAGTGGGACTCGGCCAGCCTTGCAGTAAGGTCAGAGAACCCGCTTGATAATATGTGGAAATGCTCCCCCCCCCCTTTGCTGGACATGCATCTGGTTCTCTAGAGTTTGGAAACAGGACAGGGGGCTGGGCGGATCCTGGCCGAGTCTGATCCAGCAGTGCTCTTATTTCACCAGCATTGGAGACTGCCATCTTTGTGTATAGCTCAAAATTTCACTTGGGCGCAAAGCTCAAGGCTGCATTATGACTTTTGTGGGCTCTTCCTACCATAATATCAATATTAAAAAATAGTAGTGTAGTAGTTTATAATTGAGATAGAAAATTTCCAGGACACCATCATGGACTTTTTATTCAGGTCTTCAGTTTTATCAAATTGCTTGCTGCATTTTAATGTTATATTTCTTTTCATGGCTTTATGCCCCGTGTACATAGCTCCGAGCACGGCATAAGCAGGAATAGGCTGATTAACAAATTGAAATAGTACTACTACTACTGTTTAATTAAGAATTTTTGTTGTTGTTCAGTCGCACAGTCGAGTCCGACTCTTTGCGACCCTTGTATGTTTTAGGCAAAATCTGGTAAATTTTCATGGGCCCTAAACATTCATTTTTTCTTCTGATTTTAAAAGAAATTAAAACATTTTTGTGGTTCCCTCAAATTATTGTGGGCTCTAGGCACTATGCCTACTATGCTTAATGGATAAATTGGCCCTGGCAAAGCAGCGGTGCCTTCAGCACACTGACCTCCCTAACAGGGAAGATGGGCAGTTGGTAAAAAAGGAAAAAACCAAAAACAACAAACTCCCAGGCCCTCCAATCCCCAATATCCATTTGCTAGCGGAACCTATAATACAAGTAGGGCTGTAAGTCACTCTGTTCTCTGCTCTTGGGCCCGTGTGGCTTCTGTCTCCCGTTTCTCTTCAGAACTTTTTTTTCATTACACCTCCTACAGCTCCTTCGCACAGATAAAATACCTTCCCCCCAAACCCACAGGGTTACACTTGATTACACCCAGCATATAAGTCTCTCTCTCTGTGTTATTTTTAAACTGAACAATGCACTAATTATATGCAGTCATTACAAGGAGAGGTACAGTTCTGGGGGGGGGGGAATGAATCCTGTTTCTTTGTTTCGGGCATCAGGCAGTCGTCGCTGCTGGAAAAGGGGGAGTTTGCCAGAAGCACCAGGAGCCGCTGAAGCTCTTCTGCAAGGACGATCAAGCCCTCATCTGTGTGGTCTGCGACCGATCCAAGGAGCACAGAGATCATGAAACCCTTCCACTTGAGGAGGCCTCCCAAGAGTACAAGGTAGGAAATCAACAATGTGGAGGATGATGAGGAAGAGCCATCAATCCTCCCCTTCTCCTTGGTCTCTTTGCAGGGAAGCTCTCCAGTTTCCTCCCCAGCCTCTGGGCCCAAACTGGGAAGTGAAAACACCTCTTTGCTGTCTCCTTCATGGGTGTCATGGCTCCCTTTTAATTGCCTCCAGTCCCCCTGCTAAGGGCAATGTAGGGTGATGTGAGGAGATGGACTCACTTCCTGCCTAAGCTTTCGTGTGCAAGCACACTTTTGCTTCTGTATCTGATCTTCCTTATCTACCAGTTTTAACCCCACCCCCCACTGCTTTCCCCAATTTCAGTTGCTGTCCTTGAGTTTGGCACAACATTGTGTTGTTTCCGCTCAGCTTCCCAGTTTTTCTGGAGCTGCTGTATCTCAAACTTGCTTTGGATCATTCTTTCAGGATCATATCAGAAGAGGTTTTATGGGAAAGTGTGGAATGGAAGGCATCAATTTCCAGAACCATCTGAGCTTTTTGCTATTTCTTTTTAAAGTTGTCAGTACTGGGCATATTGCTGGAGTGTTAAGACAATATAGTGGTATAGTGATTGCAAATAGTAGTTTTTAATGCAAAAAAATCCACCCTGTGGCAGGAGGGTGTAATTGTGGGCAGGAAGGTAAAACACAGAATAACTCTCCATACTGAAGCAGCACGGGCACTGTGAATATCTTTACATTTGTAGTGGCTGTCAGAAGAGAATGTGGCACCATCCCCATGAGGAAGCTACATTTGAGAAATGTTAAAGATCCCGTTAGGGACATCTGGCAAGTTACATCCTGTTTGACCCTTAGAGTTTTGCTTCTCATATGATTTATAGTAAACTTCTGTAAAGAATGCAGTCTTCATTTTGGGTCTCTCCCCTGCAGGATCATTTCTGCAACTGTCTGGAGATTCTGAAGAAGGAGAGAGAAGGAATTTTGGCATATAAAGGAGACGTAGAGAAGGAAAGCCAAGACCTGCTTGTAAGTCTCACTGTGGCTGGGGAATGAACAGATTCTAGAGCTCGTACTGGAGAAAACAGTGGAGTCCAGCTACAAAAAAGTCAACCCAGGTGGGGGGGGCCTCCCCTCTCCTTCCAATTTGGAAGTTCGGTGCACAGATGGTCAGTATTCAGCAGCCCAGGCCCTCAAAGGTAGACTTAACATTGCAATTCTAAACAAAGTTCTACTTGAGGGGTGGAGCTGGGGGTGTTGTGGAACTGCACACTCTTGGGGCCCCTGGCACTCCCTGCCCTCTGGTGGCCTAGGCAGTCCCCCAGGAGGTACCTAGTGAGTGGGCAGCCCCTGGTTATTCATCCAGCTCTAGAACATTTTTGTTGCTGTTATTCTTGGGTGTTTTTGTTTGGGGCAGAATCAGTTGACTTCCCAAGGCGCTCTCTGCTGTGGGGTGTATCCTGGACTGATGAACTTGTGTGTCCAGGGGACCCTTGTGTGCATGCACCAACACTGCAAGCCAGGAGAAGTCTCTGAAAAGAGATAAGCCCCCTCTACCCCCCAAATACTTGCTAAAAATGCTGATAGAGCCTCCTCTGATCCTGAATGGAGCCATGGGGTGTGCAGATATTACTGATTCTAAGGGGGAAAGTGCTTCGGATGCTCAGTAGCATGTAGATTTTCCCCCTCTACACTTTTTTCTTGCCCAGAATGCAGTCAGGGAAGCTGCAGGTTCGATTGGGAGGCCAAGGCTGCGGTCACATTACAGGCTTGGCGTGATCTGGCCACACCGCTAATTACACCATGGAGAACCACACTCAAAGAGTAGTTGTCAGTGGAGGGAGGTGTCCAGTGGGGTGCCACAGGGCTGGGTTCTGGGCCTGGTACTTTTCAGTATTTTTATCAGTGTTCTGGATGAGGGTGTGGAGGGGCTACTCATTAAATTTGCAGATGACCCCAAATTGGGAGGAGCAGCAAACACAATAGAAGATAGAGATAGAATACAGTGAGATCTGAACACTGGAAAAGTGGGCAGACGTGAACAAGATGCAATTTAACAAGGATAAGTGCCAAGTTCTACATCTGGGTAACAAAAATGAGGAACATGCAGACTGGATGAGGAGTACACTATTTGGTAGCAGTGTGTGTGAACAAGATCATGGGGTATGGGTGGACCGTAAGTTAAATATGAGCAGCCAGTATGATGCAGCAACAAAAAAGGCTAATGTGATCTTGGGGGTTATCAACAGAGGCAGGAGCTGGACAAACGCTTGTCAGGGATACTCTAGGCTGATCCTGCATTGAGCAGGGGGTTGGATTAGATGGCCTGTAAGGCCCCTTCAAACTCTTGTCATTCTACAATTCTTTAACAGGAAGTTTTGATCAGACATCCCACCCTGAACCGGCTTCACCACACACCATGGTTGATGGTTCAGATTGTTGCAGCATTTTTTCTTTCTTTCACCCATGCGCCCATGTTGACTGCTCAACAATCCCTCTGCCATGTACTTTGGCCCCTCTCAGCCTCCTTCCCTTCGCTTTCTTCCTTGGAATACATGCAGATTTACACAAGAGTAGTCCCATTGACTTCAGTATATTTACTCTTGTGTCAATCATGGGAGGCTCTTGAACTACAACTCCGAAGCAGAAACAGGAGAGAGGGTTTTTTTTGGGGGGGAGGTATTTGTTGCTCAAAAACAACTCCCCTTGGGGGCTCCCAATCCAGAATGGCTGCTTGGCTGTCCAATTGGTGATTGACAACACCGGGGGCAATTATGAACACATTGCTACCTGATTTTTAAAAAGGGGGTGGAAACGGATGGGAAGGTTCATACTTCCCAACTGGCTTGAGTTTGCAACAGGGGTGTTCAGACATCTGGAAATGCAGGGTGGAAGAGCTGACATCTGTAAACACTAGAGAGAAAGATAGCTAAAGTCACCTTCTTCAGAAGGGCGTAAAATCAGACTACTTTGTCGAATTCACTTGAAACTCTAAAGGAGTCTGTGATTCCTATTCCTCTGCGCAAGCCATTTGGTAGTAATAAATTAATGGTTGATTTCAAGGGGGCTGCTTGGTAGAAGACCGACTATTGGTGCTTCAGCAAAAGTCCGATCATGTTGATAGCAGTCCTGATACTGAGTTGGCTTGAACAATCATTGCCAGATTTATGATATCAGACAATACATGGCTTTCAGTTGTAAGAAACGTTAGGGATAGCTCACCAGAGTCAGTTCAGTGCTCCACCAACACTGCAAGCCAGGAGAAGTCTCTGAAAAGAGATAAGCCCCCTCTGCCCCCCAAATACTTGCTAAAAATGCTGATAGAGCCTCCTCTGATCCTGAATGGAGCCATGGGGTGTGCAGATATTACTGATTCTAAGGGGGAAAGTGCTTCGGATGCTCAGTAGCATGTAGATTTTCCCCCTCTACACTTCTTTCTTGCCCAGAATGCAGTCAGGGAAGCTGCAGGTTCGATTGGGAGGCCAAGGCTGCGGTCACATTACAGGCTTGGCGTGATCTGGCCACACCGCTAATTACACCATGGAGAACCACACTCAAAGAGTAGTTGTCAGTGGAGGGAGGTGTCCAGTGGGGTGCCACAGGGCTGGGTTCTGGGCCTGGTACTTTTCAGTATTTTTATCAGTGTTCTGGATGAGGGTGTGGAGGGGCTACTCATTAAATTTGCAGATGACCCCAAATTGGGAGGAGCAGCAAACACAATAGAAGATATAGATAGAATACAGTGAGATCTGAACACTGGAAAAGTGGGCAGACATGAACAAGATGCAATTTAACAAGGATAAGTGCCAATTTCTACATCTGGGTAACACAAATGAGGAACATGCAGACTGGATGAGGAGTACACTATTTGGTAGCAGTGTGTGTGAACAAGATCATGGGGTATGGGTGGACCATAAGTTAAATATGAGCAGCCAGTATGATGCAGCAACAAAAAAGGTTAGTGTAATCTTGGGGTGTATCAACAGAGGCAGGAGCAGGGGGTTGGATTAGATGGCCTGTAAGGCCCCTTCCAACTCTGTCATTCTATGATTCTTTAACAGGAAGTTTTGATCAGACATCCCACCCTGAACCGGCTTCACCACACACCATGGTTGATGGTTCAGATTGTTGCAGCATTTTTCTTTCTTTCACCCATGCGCCCATGTTGACTGCTCAACAATCCCTCTGCCATGTACTTTGGCCCCTCTCAGCCTCCTTCCCTTCGCTTTCTTCCTTGGAATACATGCAGATTTACACAAGAGTAGTCCCATTGACTTCAGTATATTTATCCTTGTGTTGATCATAGGATGATCTCAGGCAGCAACTCTGATGCAGAAACAGGAGAGAGGGGTTTGAGGGTGAGGGGTCATAGAATCATAGAGTTGGAAGGGACCTTCAGGGTCGTCTAGTCCAACCCCCTGCACAAGGCAGGAAATCCACAAATACCTCCCCCTCCACACCCGCAGTGACTGCTGTTCCATGCCCAGAAAATGACAAAAAAAATATCCAGGTTCCCTGGCCAAACCAGCCTGGAGAAAAATTGCTTCCTGACCCCATAGTGGCGATCAGCATTTCCCTGGGCGTGTAAAAAAGGGCCACAAGAACTAAGTCTCTCAAAAACAACTCTCCTGGGGACTCCTGACAATGCCAGGGGCAATTATGCACTTATGCGCACATCACTACCTGATCCCAAAAAAAGAGGCAGAGACGGAAGAGAAGGTTCAGACTTCCCCAGTGGTGTTTCTACTCAAACGCCATATCTTGTCCCGTGATGGGAAAGTGCAGGGATCAGGATATGGAGGGTGTTTTAGAGGGGGAGGTCAGCATATGGAGGGTGTTTTAGTGGGGGAGCAGAAGGACTCACGAAGCCCCTTCTGCACTCTGTGTCTTCTGCTGCGGACTCCGTCCTCTGTAGCCAGAAGAACCCACCCAGGAGTTCGAGTGAGATCCATGTGTACTTTAGCTCTGAGGATGGGTCCTGAGGGATCTTCTCCTGCCAAATGTTGATGTGATCTCTGTGGAAGGCCACAGTGCCCTTCCGATAAAGAGTCTTCTGAAGTGCCTCTTCCCACTGCAGAGACCGGCTGTGTTCCTGAGCTTGGCCTGCTTTGCTTCTCTTTCCAATTCAGAGGCAAACCAAAGGAGTGAAGCAAGAGACGGTGGCCAAGTTCAGGCAACTGCACGCGTTTCTGGATGAACGAGAAGATCTTCTGCTGGCCCGGATGGAAGAGGCGGAGAAAGAGGTGGCAAAGAAAAGGGACCAGCGCCTGGCTGAACTCTCTGAGGCAGTCTCCTCTCTGGAAAGCCTCATCCAGGAGATGGAGGAGAAGTGTCAGCAGCCGGCTGGGGATCTCCTGCAGGTGAGGGGGTGGCGGGAACAGATCAGTTACCCCTTGGGGAGAAGGCTGGCTCCAAATCCTCTCTCTGCCCACGTGCCCCTCTGTGTTTGCCTGTCTAGGAACACGAGCTCTTCCTCTGTTGCTTTTTGAAATCCAGCTTACTGTTGGATCAGTATTTTTACATCTTAATTTTGATATTAAATGAAAGAACACTGTAATGAGTGCATTTTAGTGAAACCAGAAGATATTGATTTCAGGTATTTTCCTCAGGATAGCTATGGCTGGTGCAGTCAGACGCCATCCAGTGTTCCTGACTTGGGGGTGAGCATTGCAGGTTGGAAATGTCGAAGGCATCAAGTGCCAGGTGGACCCACGGCCATAGAGGTGCTTCCAGCTGATTGCAGAAGAGCCGTTCATCAGCTGGGCTGGAGGGTCTTGGAGTGTCATGGGCCTCTGCCTGGGTCTGTTCGCCCTTTTGTGGCATGGTCTTGCCCTCCCACCTGCTGCTGTTCTCTGGAGCCCTCGTTTGCTCAGGCTGAAAATCAAGAGGCCGTGACTCATAACAGTTGTGGTGGAGGGAAGGAGGGAGGGGTTAGCCAATGCCTCTGGTCCACCAGGAGGGCAAGGAGAGTACCGTTTGCTGGCGAATCCCTCTCACTTTAGGATGGGGCACCATGTAGAAAAGTGAGTCGCTCCCCAAAGGTCTGGAGTCTCTGGAGGATGCCCTGGGATCACACTGGTGGAGAAGGAGGGACGGCCGTTAGTTGGGTGGTCAGTGAGCTACAGGAGAAGATGGCAGGCGGAGGAATCTCTGAAGCGTGTGAGTGTGTGCGTGTGCGCGTGAGAGACCAACACATGGAAGGAAAACCTGGCTCATGGGTGTAGCTCTTTGAGACAACCAGAAATGAGGGCTCTATGCAAGATTTTCTGCAGCATCTCTTAAAAGGAGGGTGAGGGTGGCAATATATTGTGCACCGCTGAGTTGTCAAGTCTGTCATCCATGTGTACACTCTGAAACGGCTTCACTTTGCCTACCGATATCATTCCCTCATGAAGAAGTTCTCCCACTTTATGAAGTGGGACAAATGCAAAAAGGAGTCGGATTGCATCCCTCTCCCCAGGGTCTGAGGGGTCTTCCCAGTGTGGCCTGTGGCAGATGCTGAGTTTCCTCTTCTCTCTTTTCCTCTCTTTGCTTTTTAGGACGTCCGAAGCACCTTGCAGAGGTAAGTAGACCCCTCTCCCTCATTGCCCCCCTGATGCTGGGATGGGTAGCAGGTGAAGAAAGGGGCCCTTCAGGCTCAGGACCACCACGGACATGACTCAGATCTCAGTCCATTTCTTAACAGCAGACCGTGGATGAACGCAGTCCCAGGGGCAGAAGCTCATGCCCCAAAATAGCATGTTGGCATGTTTTGTCTCTGTCCCATTCCTATCCTGCCCTTCCTCTGAGGAGCTCAAGGGAGTGTACTTGAGTCTCCCTTCCTCATAACAGCCCTGTTAGATAAGTTCAGCTGCAAGGAAAAGAGAATGGGCTAGGCCAGGACCACCCAGCAAGCTGGAGGCCTGAGAGTTGAACCAGGGCCTAATCCAGCTGCCTACCCACTGGAACCACGGTAGCTTTGTCCTTCTTTCCCTCGACAGATGTGAGCAGGGGATGTTTTAAAGGGAAGCCACCTGTTTCTCTGGGTGTCTGGTTTGGCCTTCAGGAGCCTGGGTTTGGGGTCTCTGGGGCAACTGCTAGGGGACAGAATCTCTGCAGAAGAAAACGAGGGGCAAAGTGACGGCTACGACTGGAGAACGATCATCTAGCCAAGCGGTGTGCAAACTAGTAAGAAAAGTGTAATTTACAGATCTTCAGAGACTTTAAAGAACTTTTCGTTTTAATGTAAACATGTCGCATCGGGCTGAAAAAATGGCGCTCAGGGCGAAGCCTTCTTCAGGAACTACCAGTTCAATGACTCCAGTCTCCAGACCGGAAGCAACCACAGACTTCCCTAAGATGATTGCTGCAGCACTGCGCCCTCTGCTGGATCAGATGACTAACCTCTACAACAACGTTGATGCTCTTCAAAAGGAACTGAAAGAAACTAGCACAAGAACAGAGAAGACAGCCAAAAAGCTGAAAAAGGTTGATGATAAGCCCAGAAGGACATCTCATCCACTTTAAAGAGGAAAAAGAAAAGATTTACTCTGTTACAAAAGCAAACGCATTTTTGGAACAGCACCAAAGTTCAGCAGAATAAAAAGGAAATGTGGAAGACAAAAATGCCACAGAAGACAGTAGTGAACATGGGTCGAGAAGCAGTGGTAGTTCATCGAGTAGTTCTTCAGAAGGAACTCTGGACTCTGAATCAGAATTAGGAGGAGCAGCTCCTAAGCCTCTCAAAATTAAGCTGACCTTTGGTAAAAACAAACGTAGAGGAAAGAAAACTGATAAATCGCTTAACTCTGAATATATGATTTCTTTTTTATTGAAATACTAAAATGCACCCACTATGACTAATTATGCTTGTACTTGTTTGAACTAGTAAAATTAGTAGCTAATCTCCATTTCTTTAAAAAACTAAACAATAGGGAAACACCAAGAAATTGATGTAATATAGACCGTTATATGATCCTTGCTAACTCTGTATTTTAGTTTTAGAAGATCCCCTACCTTATTCCTTGTAGTATGTAGAGATTAAAAGCAATAAAAATGTTTTTTTAAAAAAAAGAATCTCCTCTGCAGAGGGCCTCCCCTCTTTCATTGCTTTCCACATCCACCGGTGTCTCTGGGCCTTCTGCCTTCATTGCTTTGCTCCACTGGTGGGAATTCTGAATAGATGGTGGCCCACCTACTACCTTTCCCCCCTCCAGGTATGAAGACAAAGTGACGTTTGACAATCCTGTGACTTTTCCTCTTGCACTGAAGTGGAGGATCTGGGACGTCTGTGACATCAACCACTCGCTGGAGGGTCTGATGAAGCCGTTGAAAGGTAATGAAGAACAGCTGCAGGGGTTTCAGACAGGTCGTTCGGTGAGGCCAGGTGTGAAGGTGGACCCCTCAAGGTCACTTGTAACACTAGCAGGGCCCAGGCGTACAGGGAATTTGTGTGCCAGTTCCAAAATGCCGTTTTAGTTCACCATGGAACGTTTTTCTGATCAAATGTCCTTCTGTGGCTCTAGCACACCATTGCCTTCTCTAGGTTCTCTTACGCTGTTTCTCTATCGTTTGGCCTCTGTTCATTCCTGTGCCTGTGTGTCGTTGAACTGATATGTCAGCTGCAGAACAAGCCTCCAGTGTGAAAGAGGGGAAGAGTTTGGTGTAGTGGTTAAGTGTGCGGACTCTTATCTGGGAGAACCGGGTTTGATTCCCCACTCCTCCACTTGCACCTGCTGGTGTGACCTTGGGTCAGTCACAAGCTCTGGCACAGCTGTCCTTGGAAAAGAGCAGTTTGTGTCAGAGTTCTCTCAGCCCCACCTACCTCACAGGGTGTCTGTTGTGGGGAGGGGAAGGGAAAGGAGTTTGTAAGCCGCTCTGAGACTCCTTTGGGTAGTGAAGGGCGGGGTATAAATCCAATCTCCTCCTCTTCCTTCTCCTGTTCCCCCTCTTCCTCCTCCTGTTCCCCCTCTGCCTCCTGTTCCTCCTCCTCTTCCTCCTCTTCCTCCTCCTCTTCCTCAATGGAGACACCCTCCTGATTCCTTTCAGGAAGCCCCCCCCTTCTGTGTCCATGGCCAAATCGGACCTCTCAAAACTGACCACTTGGACTGAGGGCTTAATTAATGGTCTCAGGGGGACTGACGGTGCTCTCTTCAGCAGAGTGAGACGTGCCAAGTCCATTGAAATTATGTGGCTTGTAACCTGGTGTAACTCTGCTTAGGATGGTGCCGTGAGACATTCTGTTTCTGAAGAAACGTGGCCGATACCCAGCTGAAAGGCCACCAGGAACCCCATCTTTGCTGCCTTGAACATCTTGAAGAATGTCAGAAGGAAAATGTAGCAAGTAATTTACTTCTGGGAGTAACAGCTCAGGAGTATTTACCTCAGCAGATGGTTTCTGCCTTGAGCAGTCTCCTGGAGAAGCAGTGTAGAAAAGTTATCAAAATAAATACATTCTTTTATTGAATTTGAATTAAGGAAGGGCTGAGTATTTTCGGCCAAATTCTGAACCAGACGTGCAGAGATCATCTCCTTCCTTCCCTTCCCTAATCTGGACAAGTACAGCCAAGTTGGGTCCTCTCTATCCCAGTTGCCCCCCAGTCTGTTTTGCGCCCACCCACCCCCAGTTGTTCAGGGTGTCTGGCCAAATCGGGGGAGTCATTGGCTGCTTCCCCTGGCAGCAGTTCTCCATGGCACCTTCATGATCCCTCTGAGTACAGAGGCCTTTGCATTGGCCAGAGAGCACCCAGACCACCGTTTCCTTGTCCCAACCGCCTGGGATTACACTTTCTCCACATATTACCACAGGTCCCCCCAACCAGGGTTTTCTTCCTAATTAGTAATTGACTAATCACTCCAGGGGATTAATGCGATAAAAGTCTTTTGCCAGGATTGATTTTTTTTTTTTAAGGTACGTTTCTAGCCCTTTTCATTGCATAACTATAAGGGGAAATGTGCTGCTTGAGTCCTTAAAAATGCTAATTGGGAAGCACCAGGAAAGTAAAATGATCTATTGCCATGGTTCCTCTGCAATCCCAGTTTTTATTTTTAATAAAAGGTCTCTAGCTGTTTTCATTGCAGAGAAATAAGGGGTTCACCTTCCCCTTTGTATCCCCACAACGAAAGTCTGAAGGCTTACTTTTTTCAGTAAATGAAAGCTGGGAATTCAGAGAAACAGCTAGCACCAGAGAAGCTAGTGGGAGGAGGAGAGAAATGGCAACTGCAGGGACAGTATGGCAAGGAAAGTGACGCTGATACCAGTGGGGCCTTCACAAATGCACACCTCCCTGGCCACACCGCATATGAAGAAAATAGCCCAAGACTGCAGTCCTTCCCAAAAGATTATATCAAATAGGATTGGGGAAAGTTCAGAGCAAAGCAGGAGAGATCCCAGAAAGAGGAGGGTTAGGGGACCATATTGTGTGGGTCTCCACCCCCCACCCCCCAAGTTTGGATGCCACATCAGAGCAAAACCGCTGTATGGAAGTATTTTAAGCATATCTTCATTGGACCCTTGGGCTGCCAGCCTTAGAATACTTTATGTAATGCAATTCTCAAGCAACTCAAAGCAATTAAGTTCTGGATACCCGTGTTCAGGATCATTCTTAGCCTCTTTCTGGGAGAGTGAAGTGTCAGATTGAGATACATTTTCTCTTTGTGTTCTCAGTCCAACAGCAGCCATACTTAGAAACAGTGAGCAAACTCAAATTAAGTGAAAATAAATTTGAGTATTTGCACACAACTAACATTTGGTAGAGAACTTTTCCTGGAAGTAGCTTCTACTTAATCCTTTATCTAAAACCAAGCAAAACAATATGTTGTTAATGAATACTATTGTTGCAAGATTTGCAGTATATACAAGGGTTGTCTGCTTACTTTCTGTTCTGTTTGCTTCCTCAGACACTCTGGATTCTGAACTTCACCTCCAGAAAGGTACATTTTGTGCACTAATCAGTTATTTCTAATCTAAAAAGCTTCACCTCACATTCTGTCTTCTGCTTGGTGCTTCTGCAGTGATAAAATTCCCTGGACACTCTTGTTTTGTCCCTCAAAGCCTCAACCTCCCTGCGCCAATCAGTTCCTCAGTGCTTTCTTCTCAGGCAACTTTTCAGGATTTACCAGGAGGGCAGAGATGGGGAACTCTGAGGGGGATGACCTGCCTCCTTTCTTCTCGTAAGAACATAAGAAGAGCCCTGCTAGATTAGACCAATAGTCCATCTAGTCCAGTCCACCATCCTGTCTCACACAGTGGCCAACCAGTTCCTCTGGAGGTCCAGCAACAGAGCACAGATGCTGAGGCCTTCCCCTGAAGTTGCCTCCTTCCCTTAGTATACAGAGGCTTACTGCCTCTGAGTGTGGAGGCTCTCTTTAGTCATTTTGGCTAGTAGCCACTGATAGATCTATCCTCCGTGAACCTGTCTGATCCCCCTTTAAAGCAATCTGTGCCTGTGGCTATCAGTGCATTCTCTGGCAGATGATTCAACATGGTAATCATTTGTTGGGTAAAGAAGTATTTCTATTTCTCCTATCCCATCAATTGTAGCGTGATCCTGAAGCACCTGGTGCTCTCTAGAAGTCACAGATATCTGGTTCACACACAGTTTCAAGGAAATGAAAATCCCAGTGTCCTTCCATCCCCCCAGTTACCCATGTTGTGAAGCACAGAAACTATTATGGGGGTGTTTTTGGTTTTGCTTTCTGGGAGTCAGCTGGAATGACAGGAAAGGAGGGATCTATACATTTTATTGCAGATAATTAAAGGTTGATTTAGGGTTTGGAGGAGGATATTTTTGTGAGTCCTTCATCCACCTGCTCTGAGCTTTTGCTGAGATTTCATGCCAGCTCCCAGTTCAGTCGGAGACAGAGAAACTGTGGCCAAAGGAAAATAACAACCTTCGTGTGGCTGTTGAAATCCTAATGATTTGAGCAGAAATGTCAGATATACCTAGGATGAAGACTAAGATCTGTTTTGCAGATTCAACCCATTCTGTCTGTCTCATTTTTTTATGTGGTCAGGGTGTTTGTGGAAGAGCTCTTCCATGTGTGAGTTGGTTTTTTTTTGGTGGGGGGTTTGTTTAGAAAGGAAGATGAAATATACCTGGAGTCCCCAACGTGGTACCCACAGATGCCCACCAAGTGTTTTTAGAAAGTGGGTGTGACCATGTGGGGATTAGGCAGTAGGTTTTTCGATTGGCCATTGGAGAATTGATTGGTTGTGCAGATTTCTTTTTAAATGTTGATTTGGCATCCGTGCTGTATGACTGAAGGTAAGCTTTTGCAGCCATTTTGTGGCTGGCTCTGCCTCCTGCAGCGGCCATTTTGTCCCTGCCCCCATCACCTTATGTCAGAATTCCGAAGGAGTCTATGGGACGAAAAGGATTGGGGTCCCCTAAAATAGACATTGCCCTTTGTTTCTCCCTCGGGGTACTTCTTTGATATAGCATATAGGGGACAGGCTGCACTCACATGGGTTGCTAGTGTTTGTTCAAGCCCAGGAGGTCTGTTCTACCTTTTGGCTTCCTTAAATAGGACAGGGGAAGGAAAGAGGGTTAACGCCAAAAAGCAGGAAGGGGAAACAGAACAAGCCGCAGTGGAAGAGATGTCTAAACAACCAGCCAGGTCAGGGAGATCCACAGGGAACGGATGTATGTGGGACACTAACAATAGTCTCAGGTGTGGCAAACTACTCTGCCCTTTGTCTCCCAGCTGAACCTGCTTCTCTTCTCTCTCCTCCCTCCCCCTAACAGCAAATGTGACTCTGGATCCGGACACGGCCCACCCCATCCTCATCCTGTCTGAGGATCAGAAAAGCGTGAGAGATGGAGAAAAAGCTCAAGCCCTGCCCAGCAACCCTGAGAGATTTGACCAGCGCTTTATTGTCCTGGGCCGTGAGGGATTCACAGCAGGCCGCCATTTCTGGGAAGTCCTTGTGGGAAGAGGGGAAGGATTCCTTGTGGGGGTGGCCAGAAAGTCGGTGAGGAGGAAGGGAGGCATGACCTTTAGTCCTGAGGAAGGTATCTGGGGAGCAGGGAAGTGGTGGGGCAGATACACGGCTTTTGTAAAAGACAATGATCCTCCCCTCACCATGAGTGGGGAGCTGAAGAGGATCCGAGTGTGCCTGAACTACACTGGGGGTCGAGTGGCCTTTTTCGACGCTGACCGAGCAGCCCTTCTCTACGAGTTCTCTGGAGCCTCCTTCCCTGGAGAGACCCTCCTGCCCTTCTTTTGGGTACATAAAAAAAGCCACCTCCAACTCTGTTAAGGCAGTCGTTTTGCTCTGGTGGCCATTAATAAGACAATAATATTGCTTAACCGTCCTGTTTCATAGCTCTGTGAAGGCCTTCCATTGTGTCCCAGACACCAAAACTGACTTAAAAAGGAGTCTTCTCCATTTCCCAGCATTCCCTCTTTGTTTGGAAGTTTATTTCTGATAGAAACAATGACCTATGTCTGGGTTTGTCATCTCTGGGTTGGGAAATTCCTGGATATTTGAGAGAGGCTGGGGGTGGGTTTTCTCAGGAGGGATGTGATGCCAGAGAATCCACCCTTCAGAGGTGCCATTTTCTCGGGGGAGCTGGTCTCTGTAGTCTGGTGGTCAGTTGCAATTCTGGAGGGACTCCAGATCCTACCTGGAGGTTGCCATCCTTCCCTATTTTACATCCTAAATAGCAGGTCTGGTCTGAAGGAGAGCTGTGAATGGACCAGCAGGCCTCTTTCATCTCCCAAAGGTCTTTTTCCCCCCATTACTCCTCCAGGGAAAATTGGATTAAATACTTGGAAGTCCGCTGTCAGATATCCCACATTCTTTCAATTTTTGTTCAGGGTGGCTGTGGAACCAGGTGAGGAGGAATGGGGGAGCAGTGCTGATGGAGGGGAGTGTTGAGCCCTTCCACCCAGTTCCCTTTTTATGATCTGAAATTTCGTCAATATGTTGAGATGTGTGTTTGTATTAAAAGTTTCTCTTCCTATTGTGAGTTTATTTGAAACATACTTGTGAGAGGGGGGTCCTGAGAGGCTGGGGGGGACTCTTAGAGAGTACTATTTCCCAGCTTTCATTTTCAAAAGAGTATGCAGCCACCAACCTTACTCATATAACTCCACAGCAAAAAGGGCTAGAGTTACTTTTTAAAAAAAATGTGGGAAAGAGTGCATTTGTTGTGATAGATCATTACAATGTTACATTGCCACAGTGACCAGTCACTATTTTTTTATTTTTATTACAACGAGGCACCTCAAAAGCAGGAAGTGGCCCTGGCCTCCCAGGACCTTTGAGTGGGTCTGGAGTCATTCGTAAAGAAACCACAGAACCTCACAGAATGAGCATGTCAAGAAGGTATGGATCAGTCTAGTTTCCTTCCTGATAGGGTTTTTTCTGCATGCTGGGAGTTTTATCGTCAGAAAAGTTAGCACATTGCAACAGGCTTCCCCAGACTCAGAGGCTGAAATGATACCGTCCTGGAAAAGCTTTTCCACCTCTTAATGTGTAAACTGTGTCAGCAACACGGGGCACCAACATCAGGCAGGGAGAAATGGACCTATTTACCTGCCTCCAAGTTCAATATAGGCAGGTCCCTATTTGCATAGCTGCTCCTCTTCGAAGCTTTGATACTTGCCTGGGTATTTTTGGGGAGAGGGGCAAAGAGGAAAGTTTTTTGGGGGAGGGGAGTTTCTACCACTACCAGTTCTAGAAAAGGGGTAGGGTTGATCTGAACCTGGCTGGGAGGGATTTTGGAAAAGGGAGAACACTGTGGGTAGTGTCGCCAACCTCCGGGTGGGGGCTGGAGACCTCCTGGAACTACAACTGATCTCCAAGGTACAGAGATCAGTTCCCCTGGAGAGAACGGCCACTTTGGAAGATGAACTCTATGGCATTGTACCCCATTGAAGTCTCTCCCGCCCTCCTCAGGCTCCACCTCCAAAATTTCCAGGTATTTCCCAACTCCTATTCCCCCCCCCCTTTCACCCGTTAAGTGCCTGGTTCCCCCCTGTTGCCCTTCGACTCTGCCCCCCCTCTTGTGCACTTCCAACTTTCCCCCCACAATGGGGACCTTTGCATTCTGGCATTCAGCGGCTGGCAGGGGTTTCCCCAGGTTAGTGAGCTCTGAAGACTCAGCGCCTGCCTGCTCCGCGAACATCCATCCCGTTTGCAAATGGCCGGGGCGCAGAGGGAAAAGTCTCCCTTCCCATTCCCAAGGTTTGCCTTCCTCACTCAGCGGCCCTTTCTCTTGGCCGGCTTTTCCCCACAGCTCAGAGCAGCTCTGTTGCCCCGCGGTAGATTCCGCGTCCGTTAAGAGACAAGGCTGGAGTTTTATTTTGGGGCGCAGAGCTTTAAATTGTCCTTCATATCCGTTGTTAAATTCACCAGTAAGGAGCTAGGAAAGGCGAACAAGGAAGTGGGAACCAATCAGCTTTCTGAGCCCCCCCCCCCAACCAGTGCCAGACAGAGCCTTGCCACCACCACCCTGCACCCCCCACCCCATTTTGAAAGCGGAGGGGGTTTTCCACGGAATGGAATGACAGCCCTTAGGAGTAACAGAAGTGTTCTGGGACTGGAATGAGAGCCCACAGACTGGAATGACAGCCCCAGAGTGTAGCAGGAGTGTTCAGGGACTTGAATGAGAGACCACGGAGTGGAATGACAACCCCTGGGGGTAGCTGGAATGTTTAGGGACTGGAATAACAGGCCCAAGAGTGAAATGACAGCCCCTGGGTGGTAGCAGGAGTGTTCTGGAACTGGGATGAGAGACCCCAGAGTGGAATGACAGTCCATGGGTGTAGCAGAAGTGTTCTGGAACTGGAATGGGAGGCCACTAAGTTGAATGACAGCCCCTGGGAGTATTCTGGGAATGGAATGACAGCCTTCAAGGTGGATTGACAGTTCATGGAAGTGGCAGGAGTCTTATGGGCCTGGAATGACAGGCCCAGAGCTTCCTGCCGAGATCAGGGCCCTGCGGGACTTGTCACAGTTCCGCAGGGCCGTGAAAACAGAACTTTTCAGGCAGGCGTTCCAATAGGAGCGACGTTCTACCAGCAGCGCCCTGTGCGAACTCTGATTCTATACGACCTAATGCGGCAGTACCGCCGAATGTGCCCCTAAATTGCACTTTAGTTTTATCGCCATCTAATGAATGTTTTATATTGATTGGTTGTGTTTTAACTGATGTTTTATATTTTTATACTTACTGTGAATGTATACGGCTTGTCAGTTTGTGGAAGCCGCCCTGAGCCTGCTTGGCGGGGAGGGCGGGGTAAAAGTGAAATAAATAAATAAATAAGGAGACCCTGGGTGTAGAGGCAGTTCTGTGCAACTGGATTTGCAAACTGTGGAGTGAAATACTTTACATTTAAATATTTCTGGAATGTGTGTAGCTATCACCAGATCAGCTCCATCTCAGCTCCTTTGTTTCCTTACAAATTCATGAGGTTGATGTGAGTCTCATCCTCCATTGTTAATGATATATCTTGCCCTTGTCCCTCTACCAGTTCCGGTGTCCAGTTCTGCTGCCTTCCTTACCTCCATGTTCCCTTTCCGTGTCACTCTGCCTGAGTTCTTCGCACACTATTACCTACTCTGTTGACCACTGACCCAGAGAACTGCCTCCATAGTCTCTTTGAAATACCCCAATCTGTAGTCGAGCGCGAGGGTCTCCATCCTTTTTCAGCCTGCGGCACCTTTGTAATTCTGAAACAGTGTGCTGAATGCAGATAGTTCCAGACCAATCCTACGGCATCCAGAGGCTGTCATTCTACTCCATGGTCTCTCATTCCAGTCCCTGAACACTCCTGCTACACCCTGGGGCTGTCATTCCATTCTGTGATCTCTCATTCCAGTCCCAGAACACTACTGCTTCACCTTGGGGCTGTCATTCCACTCCTTGGTCTCTCATTCCATTCCCAGAGTAGTGTTTTTGGGCCCAGAGACCCTAGTGGAAAATCCATTCCGCATTTTTATTGCAACTCTTCTTGTACTGTAATGTATATCAATGGAGCCAATGCAAGTCAATTTTTGGCTCCTATTATTTCCAATGGGCCTTCAAGTGTTTCCCATTGTTTCCAGTGGGCAATCCTGCCCTTCCTTTTAGTACATCCTGCGGGAGGGGAAGAAACCTAACAGTACAGGTTGCATTCCTTATTAGTGAAAGTGAGCAAGAGTCCAGCAGCACCTTAAAGATTAACAGAGTTTCTGTCAGGGTAGGAACTTTCATGAGTCACTGCTCACTTCCTCAGATTCAGCTAGAATGGGAGTCCATCTGTCCTTGAATCTTGGAGAGTGAAGTGATTTCAGATGCCATATGACAATAGCAGGCATTAGTCCCTTCTGCAGAGTGTCTTGTCCAAAGCAATTTGTCCTTTGTCCAAAAAAAGGATTAGTGTTGACTTGGTGGCTCAAAGTTGAATGAATGGGTTACTGTACTGTAAACGAAGGGGTCCAAAATCCCACACGGTCTGGGAGGCACTCTTGAGTTACAGTAGCTCAGCAGAGGGGACAGTTAAAAGTAGGTGGGTGGGAAGGAGAGAAGAAAACAGGGAAAGCTGAGGACATGGGGGATGAGGGAAGTAGCATTAGGAGGGGGAAACTCTGCCCAACTATGACTTCTCTATATCTTGATGTCTCTCAAAGGGGTTGTTTTATTCATCTGCTGCAGGAGGGAGTGTTTTAAATTCTGATTATAACCTGTTTTCTAGTCTAAAGAGATTTATAGATCAATTAATGGGGGCTCTACCATCTTTTTGGCCCTCTTCTGTAAGGCTCTAGCCCTGATTTAAGCAAGGGCTTTCTTATTAGATGCTTAAAAGCTCTTGTCAAGTGAATTCCAAAATTTCTAAAACTCCCTATATTGGAAAACATTATAGAGGGGATTTTAGGTGGGGAAAAATGTCAGAGAATATAACATTCTCTTTAAATAGCGCCCCGAATTCTTCCTACATATTTCAGATCTATGTAGGAAACTGGCATACCCAACAAATGAGAGAGATGATACAAACTGTTTCTTTTCCCCTCACCAGTTTATCCATCTGCCCTGATAAGACTGTAATCAACACCTGAAATCTATTTCATTGTGATCTGTCCTTTCCATCGAGAATAGAGAGGGTGTTACCCCGCAAGGGCTTCCTCTTTGCAGGATGTTTTCCTTTAACCACCTCAGAGTAGGAACTTTCCCCCACATTTTCATCTGGATCATCCTGCTTCTTTATGGGAGAATTCAATAAATAATCAGTTATAAACTCCAATTTGTTCTATATTAGTTTTAAAGAATCAGCAATAAGGATGGCTGTGAGGCTAGTAAATCAAGTTCATCTGTTTTTAGGGTTACCAAGTACCTACCTTCGAATCGGCGGGGGACACATGGTTCCCGGCCGGAACATCCCTCGGTGTAACACCCCGCCCGCTGCACCATGCTGTCACCCAGACGTGACGCCAGCACGCTGGGCTGGGCACGTAGCTGGGCGACACTGTGGCAATGGAGCTGGAAACTTTTTAATAAGAGCCTTATACTGAGCCTGTTAAGTGTTTTAAAATTGTTAGAAATACTGCCTCTGGATTGCATCTATATCTTGCGTAGTTTGCGTTAAGAAGCTTCTTTGCATTTCTGCATTCTTTGCCGAACCATGGTTTATGAAAAACTGGCCTGGACCTTAGGTGCCCCGGATTAGAGCCTTTTAGGCCTTTCTGTAACTCCCTCAAAATTTGTTTGTAGTTTTCCAGGCAAGACTCTATGTTATCTGCATTTACTAGGCTTTGGGATATAGTATTAAGTGACTCAGAGTGGAGTGTCTCAATCAAGGCTCTTTCCATGGAGTTTTTCCACCTGGGACAATTGTGTATAATGTTATCGGAAGTCCCTGAACTGAGGTTGTGGGATTTCACAGTGTGCAAATCTACTTTTTGCGTGTCTGTTTTCAATACAAGGGGCAGGTGATCACTTTCACAAACTGGGGCAGCCTCAAAACCTTCTATATATTGGACTACCTCTTCTGACACCATGATATAGTCTATAACGCTCATTCTGTCCCTGGACCAGAATGTAAACTCTGTGCGGTGATCACTTGGGAAAGACCCATTCAGTATAAAGAGATTAATTCTGTTTGTTACCTGGCTTAGCATAAGGCCTGCATCGTTGACTGTTGTGTCTTTTGAACACCTATTTAGAGGTAGAACCATACTTTGGGCCCTTAAGAAACAATAATTGCTCTTTTCACATAGACTGAGATCATCAGCTCCTATACTTGCGTTGAAGTCGCCACCCACGATAACAGAAGTCATGGGATAGGCTGTCCTCAGGTCTTGTAAATAGGATTCCGGCGCAAGTGAAGTTACCAATATTTGTTCGTTGACCCCACCAGATGGCAGATAAATGTTTACAATTAAACAAAATCAGGGCCCTGCAGGACCTTTCACAGTTCTGCAAGGCCACAAAAACAGAGCTCTTCCGCCAGGCATTTAGGTAAGGAGCTGAATTTCATCATCTACGCCCTCTGTGCCAATACCATTTCCAGCCCGAGCCCACCGATAGTGCCTTTTACCGCCGAATGTATGTTTTCATATGCACTTTACTACAGCTGTACTGCCGTCGCTATGTGAATTGTTTTTAATAACTATGTTGTGTATTTTATATCGATATTTATATGGTTGTTTTATCTATTGCTTTCTTATGGTCATAATTAGGGAGCACCACTTCCATTGTTTCCAACAGGGTAGAGATCAAAATACAAAGCCCTCCTTTGGCTCTACCGTGCACTGAGGACTCCACAGGTAAAGCAAATGTCTTGTAACCAGTTAATGATGGTTCCTCCGTGCACCATGTTTCCTGACCTAAAATTGTCAGATTTACAGAGAAATTCCATTGCACTAACCTCCTTCATTCTTCAGTGCCACCCTCTTAAGTTCCACAACAGTAATGATAAAACCTGTTTTTTGCGGGGCATAATGTGAGCTTTTTGCATAGTATATAGTCATCCTAGTGGTGAAATTATGTTCAAATCTCCTGCCACGTCTAGGAAAACACATCCTTTGTTCTCCCCTGTCCGGTGTGAGCATGGATGAACCTTGGTTTTCAGGGTTTCGGTGGGCACTGAGGAGGCAAAGAATCCTCTGAAGTTAGGCTCCAGATGACTTCTGGACACTTCCCTCTCAGAGCCAGTGTTACTTTTGAAGTTAGTTACATCTGTTACTTTTGAAGTTAGTAGTGGCTCAGCCGGGACGTCCTTTGTTACAGAGTTCTCTTCAACTGGAGGGAAAAGATAGGCTCAACAGAAGAAACCTTTAATAGAAAGCACCCACACTCACGCATGCAATATATGGTGGCCAAAGGAAGACATTTTACATCACAATTAGGGGGCTGTGGGGGAAAGGTTAAACACTCGCCCATCAGCACTGCTCCCCCATTCCAACTCTGCCCCACTGAACAAAACTTAAAAGGGTGTGGGATATCTGACAACAGATTTCCACACATCTCATCTAGCTTTTCCTTGGGAAGTAACAAAGAATGCTCGTTGGTGGTCTTCCTCTCCACAGTTGCCAAGAGGTTGAGGTGGGGGAGTGAAAAAGGACAGGCTGAGGGCAGGATTAAGGGTTGTGAGGACTCACAGAGGCCTGCTGGCCTATTTAGACCTCTCCTTTAGACCTGTCCTGTAATTTATGATGTGTAACAGGTAAGGTAGCCAACCTCCAAGTTGGACCCAAAGTTCCTCCCCACAGAACTGCAACTGTCTGACTACATGGTGACATGTAGTCTGTGACATGGTGGCCAAACTTGCTTAACATAAGAGCCACATAGAATAAACATCAGACGTTTGAGAGCCACAAGACATAAACAAATATAACCCACACATTTTTATTGAAAATATGCAAATTTGCTTTTTAATAACATTAAACGAGACTGCCAAAAAATAAAAACAAAAGGGGGTAAAAACAGACATTGAGAATGCTATTTTTGTCCAATTATATGTGTTTGCTAATGATATTTATCTGTCTAAAAGAGAAAGAGAAACAGGGGGAAAGAAAGAATGAAACAGGTGGAGAGAAAGAGAAAGCAAATAAATGGGGAGGGAGGGAGGAAGAGAGAGAAAAGAAGGAAGGGAGAAAGAGAGAAAAAGAGAAAGGTGGAAAGAAGGCAAATAGAGAGAGGGAGGGGTGGAAAGAAAGCTACTTTAACTTTAAATGCATCCTCCAAGGCCCCTC